GTATGTCACACGTGTGGCCATCTGAAATGGTTGGCTAAATGGTCCTTGACATCAGGAGAAGCAGGACAAGTTCATTACACTTGGTATCACTTCACCACTCCCTTCTTTAGCCTTTCATTGAGGATATTAATATTTCTTATGTTTAGAAAGAAAATTGTGGTTTTACTAAATTGAAACCTTGGATTTCTTTGAATCTAATACTTTGGTTCTAGATCTAATCAAAGTTTGTGAGGACGGTATAGAAATACCAGGTCTTTTTCACCAAACTCCCCACTGGTCTCTATCTCATAGGCTAGGTATCTGGGTGCAAGATGGAATTTAACATGAGGCCTCTGACACCAATTAACTCTCCAGTCCTCTCTTCTCCTCTGTGTTCCCCCTCAACTGTCTCTCTCTTCTCTCTTGCTTTTTCTCCCATTCCACCCCCATGAACAAGGATTAGAATTTGTTTCATTACCACCTACTTTATTGTTCTTTTAACAGTTCTCAAAGATTCCAGTATATGGGATCAATTCAGATATGTCCTAATTTTTAGAGTTATGGCGTTTTCCCCCTGAAACCCATTTTTGAGTTCTTAATGGAGAACATGATAAAATCAATTGGAGATGGTTACTCAAATGACTCACATGAATTTTATTCTTCCAGATTTTTAACTATGTTCTAGTTTTACATTGTGGCTATTAAAATTCCCCCATCCTCCACTAAATCACATAGACCTAAGAACATTGTAATTATTGAATTTTAATCTTAATGCTCTAAGATTCACCCAGTTTGGCTGATCATCGTGTTTATATTCCTCATTCATAAAGCAGTTTTATTGACCTCATAATTTTAAAGAAAAAAATCTCAATGAAATTAATATGTATGAAGAATTGGTATAATGCCTTACAATATGTATATATTTAAAACTGGCAATTTAAAAAAGTAATTTTTGAACAGTGTGACCATATTTGGTGTGGCTTAAAAGAGATTCCCAGATAAACAAAATTTACCAAATTCAAAAGCATAGTTCTTTGAGTACCTTTAATGATGAAAGCTTATAATGTGCATTACACAGAGCAGATATAATGTTGGCAAGTTTTAAAAACAATATTCAGGGTTTTGCTTCCAAACATAAAAAATATACTGAAAAAATACATGGTATCATTAAGCTATCTCATAATCACTTGACCACACATACAACATGATATTAAAAATATATCTTTCATAATAACAGACAATAATTTTCATTACTATATTATCTTCATCAACTTGTCTGTTCATATCTATTTCCTGAAAACATTCTATGTATTACAGTTATCCTTTGGATTGTGTCTTACTCTTTCACTGTTTAGTCAATCTTCCTATTTATTGAGAGTGGTATTCACTACTCTCAACATCTTACTACCATTTCTTTTCTATTTTTTTCTGTAACTTTAGAAATCTAAATAAATCCTTCTTATACTCCTTAGCCACATTGTTTCTCCCTCTACATTAAAGTCAGAGCAGTAAAGCATGGGTTTCTTTGCTTGGCCATATATATGAATTTTCTTTACATTTCCTTTCTTCTACTAAAAAAATCCCCTAACACTGCCAAATAACATCCATTGTATTCTTCAAAATTCTTTTTAATATTAACTCTAAGGAGTACTTCCCAGAATGTGATAAAATTCAGTAAGCATATTTATTGCAGCTGTTTATATACATTCGGGTACATTGAAAAGAAGCCAAATAATTATTAAGGCAGCATAATGTCAGTGATAACAAGCAGGCAGAAATTTGATGTTTGCCCCTGAAACTGATACAAGTTTCATGTATATATGGAATAGAAAAGATGACAGGATCCTTGG